AGCACAACGCCATCTAAGTGGCCGAATACCTACCAGCAGGCGCATTCCAAACTTCTACCAGAAAGGAGATTGTGTAATCAGAATGCAAAAAAAGTTGCCCAATCGCACATGTAACAAGCTAAATCAAAGTCATGAGTCAGTCGGAGTTGGAGTTGCCGTGGCACCAATCATTTCCAAGCACACAAAGTACTGTTGCAGGATGTTTGCATTTTGTACACCGGTGACGCACACATTTTGTTGTCGTCTACTGGGAATGGGTTGGGTGTTCTTTTGAGAAAAACAAATCAAAACAAGAGAAGAGAAGTGAAGAGGAATTTAGGGTTTAAAATGCGCGGTAGTGGTGTTTTAATAGAAATAACAATAAGCAAGATAAAAGTAGAAAAAGATGTAGATAAAATGAGAATACAATGACGGTGAAGTGCCCGCCACTTAAGAAGGTGGAGGGAAAGGAGGGGAAGGAGTAGGCAAACATTTGTCGCCTGTTGAGAGCGTTAACATAATGCACTTACAAAATGAAACAACGCTTCTTCTTCTTCTTGCTCTTCTTGCCCTTTGTGCCCTGAGCCTCCTGCATCGTCTTCTTGCGGTTGTGAATGGCCTCCAGGAGGGCAAAGAAGGCCTCGTCCACGTTTAGATACGTCTTGGCGGAAGTCTCCTTGTAGGGAATGTTCCACGAGGCGGCCAGCTGTTCGGCCTCTTCAACCTTCACACGACGAGCTGAAGTGAGGTCGGCCTTGTTTCCCACCAGGATCATCGGAATCGTATCGTCGCCCTTGACGCGGAGGATTTGCTCGCTAAAGTAACGGTAAAACAGCCGTTGGTGAAAATCGAGATACAGTGGTAGCGCTGGCAGCTCAACTTACTGAAAATCCGAAATGGCAGAGAAGCTCTCGTACTCGGTTATGGAGAAGACGCACATGAAGCCCTCTCCGGAGCGGAAGTAGTTGTCGCGAATGGCCGCGTAGTCCTCCTGACCGGCAGTGTCGAGAATGTCCACCGAGGACTCAACGCCCTCCACTGTGACCGTGGTTCGGTAGCTGTCGGCCTTGGTGGGCTCGTAATCCGAGATGAACTGGGTGAGGAAACAACAAAGTTCAGCCTGTGAGAAAGAGGAAACCCCTTAGCCGTTTGAGCGAGCTACTTACCTCCTTGTACATGTACTGAAGGGTCAGAGCAGACTTGCCGACGCCACCACTGCCCACCATGATGATCTTGTGAAGCGGCAACTGCTTTCCGTCAGCCATTTTGAGCGGATTCGGAGTGAGAGGAGAATGAGTTGTATCCTGAGAAGAACCAAAATAATAGCATTTAGAAAAACAACTGTGATTTTTATCGAAATGAGCTTACCTCCGGCACCTTCACAGAAGTGACTTTTGCTGTCACTGGGGATCTGTTGTGCTCTGGATCGGTAAGACGCCGGCAGTGATGTTGATGTTGCTGTTGCCTCGGTCACAGCACCTCGGTACGACCACTCTCTCTATCTCCCTTGGCGAACAGTTGAGTGGACGATAAGCGGCGGCAGCGTTGGTGGCGGACTGAAAGATGGGCAGCTAATGGTGCGGCTGATCTCACGGAGAGAGTCTCTGACTTGTTGCAGCAACAAAACGAAACTTGGAAAGAGAGAGAAAGGGGAAAAAGGGGAAGGGGAAAATGCAGATAGTGTACGGCGGCTCCTCAAGGCAGATGAGCTGCTGCTGCTGTTGTTGATGTTGCTGTGTCTGTTGCTGTTGATGCAAGGTAACACAGCGGCACAGTCTGCTTGGCCAGACCGATCGCTGCGGCCGCTGCTGCTGCTGTTTCGGTGTCATCGCTTGCTGGCCGACCCGGCACAACCAGCTCGCAGCGGCCAGCATGCAGTGGGCGGTCACTTGCCCTGTCAGACCAGCCTTGTCAGTGGCATCGCAGCCACGCCCTTTTCTCCGTCAGTACCGTTACTGACTGAGTGCAGGTAAGCAGGCAGCGCTGCGCTGCTGTCTTTTCAGATTGCCTCACCACGTTGTTTACGTCACCTTTCTCTCGAACTTTCCGCTTATCGATCGCAATCACATCTTTCTCTCTTCTGTCTCTTCTCTCTCGTCTGTTACTCTGCTGCTCGTCTGTACTCGGCGACCCTGTATGTTGATTGCCACTGCAGCCGCCTGCCCAACTGAGAGAGAGATACCGTTTGCTTCAGTCTGACCCTAATTACCAGACTGCTAATTGCCTCGGTAAACAGCAGTCACAGATACCCGCTGCCGTTGTACAATTAATTAGCTGTACGGTAGAGCACTCAGGTAAGCTAATTGGTTATTTTTGCTTGCTTTGTTTTTGTCATCATCATCATCATCTTCTTCTTTTCATACAGACAGACCCAATGGACCAAACCAGTGAATCAACAGCGGAGATCAAACCGGCCGAGGCGACNTCGGTAAACAGCAGTCACAGATACCCGCTGCCGTTGTACAATTAATTAGCCGTACGGTAGAGCACACAGGTAAGCTAATTGGTTACTTTTGCTTGCTTTGTTTTTGACAGTCATCATCATCATCTTCTTCTTCTTTTCATACAGACAGACCCAATGGACCAAACCAGTGAATCAACAGCGGAGATCAAACCGGCTGAGGCGACCATCCTTGACCAGGACGACTCCTCAGATGAGCACGAAGACATGCCACCTTTGGAGTCGGTGAAAGAGGCCATCAAGGAGGAGCAGGCCGCCAAGCCGCACAATAAGAACATCAAAGGCGTCAAGGCGGAGGGCGACTCCGATGCGGAGGAGGAAACGGTCGAAGAGGGCAAAGACGGCTGGACTGACATTCTCAGTAACGGCGAGCTTCGAAAGAAAATCATCAAGGAAGGTAATGTACCCTTTTCCTAAAGTGTGATGATTAACGATGTTATAGCAAACAACCTTCCTTATCTCATCACACCACAGCACCTGAACCAGGTCGACCACCTCGAGGCGCCAAGGTGACCATTCGCCTGGTGACTCGCGTCTACGATGGCCCCAAGGAGGGCACTCCAGCGGAACCTTCCAGTACCGTCATCACGGGCGAATCTTTTGACCGCTTCGATGTAATCATCGGCGACAATGACCTCTACCAGGGGCTGGACTTGATGCTGCCGCTGATGGACAAGGGCGAGACCGCCCGTCTGCTGATCAAGTCTCGTTTCGCCTACGGTGCCAGCGGCAACAAGACGCTGGGCATTCCTGCCGACTCTATGCTCGACTTGGAGGTGGAGATTATCGATGTGCTAAAGTACGATGACTCGCCTCTGGCTGGAAATCCGCTCGCCGGTGAGTGCTGACACTTTACTTTGAATGACTTCATCATTGTTTTACCATTCACCTTCCCTTTTCTCAGGAAACCCCGACCCTGAGCCCGGTGAACCGAATCCTATCCTCGCCCACGAGGCTCTTCCTGATCGCCTGCGCATTGGCAACTACAAGAAGGAACGAGGAAACTTTTGGTTTGGACGTGGCGAGTACTCGCTGGCCATTCAGTGCTACCGCGGTGCGACTCGCTTTCTCGACGCCAGCGACGAAGAGCTGGCTCTTGCCGACCGTGCCAAGAATGGCAAACTCGTCGAACAGGTGAGAGGACTTGCTGTACTTGAATCGCCCAAAGCTCACTTAAAAATTTCCATTTCTTTCTTTTAGTCTCCTGAGGTGGCTGACAAGATTCGCGACATTGAGGAGCTGATTGACAAGCGCGCGCAGTCCTTCAACAACCTCGCCGCCACGCAGATGAAGATGCAGGCGTACGACGCCGCCTTCCGCTCTGTCGAGGACTCGCTGCTGCTGCGTCCGGAGAACACCAAAGCACTGTACCGCCGTGCCAAAATTCTCCTCGAGAAGGGCGACATTGACGAGGCAATTGCCGACCTGGAGAAGGCCGCCAAGATTGACCCCACCTCGGAGGTGATCAGCCAGGAGCTGGATCGACTGAAGAAGATCCTCGCTCGACAGCTGAAGGAGCAGCGACAGCTGTACAAGCGAATGATGCAGGTGAAGGACGACGACCAGCCGCAGAAGGGAGACGCAGCCGCCGCCAAACAAAGTAAGGATGGATCTTCTAAGGGCGGTCGCGCCTCCTCCTCCTCTTCTAAAACTACCTCGGCCAAATCTAAATCTAAATCCTCCTCCTGGTTGCCCTTTTCTGCCACGGCCACGCTGGGCGCCGTTGGAGCCGTCGCTGCGGCCGTTGTTTTGCCTTCCCTCTACGTTTACCTGAAGTAGGAGGTGCAAAACAACTAGCGCGGCCCATTCTCTCTTGCTCTCTTTATTNCACGGCCACACTGGGCGCCGTTGGAGCCGTCGCTGCGGCGGTTGTTTTGCCTTCCCTCTACGTTTACCTAAAGTAGGAGGTGCAAAACACACACAGCATTCTTTCTCGCTCTCTTTCTCTCCCTTGACCGGTGCCTTGTGCTCAAGCTCTCTAATCCTTTCTTCTGGTGATACTACCTAATTCCATTGTTTCCTCATTGTTCACTTTCTCTCACTCATTTTTCGGGCGCATCTTTGCCGTGTGTGTACCTAAGATGTCCCCTCTCTGTAGTTCTTCTCACATCGGATACACACACCCCGTCCAATGCCCATACTTGCAATACTTTTTGCCCCCGTTCTTTTCAAATGCTCTACTTTTGCTCCACTAGCGTTTACACCTCTACCTTGAGTTTTTCAAACTTGTTGTTATCTTCTTCTTCATTTCTTATTAGTTTTGCGCGTGTCAAGTGTTTACTTTACTTTACTAGGAAAAGAACAAAGCTTGCAACTCTCTCTTTTCTCTAATCTCTATCTGTCTGCGACTAACTCTGTGACTCCTTTTTCACTTGACCATTCATCCTTTTTTTCTGAACAAATCTCCTACCTGTGTTTAATTCCCCTCCAAATGACTGAAATCAATATACAAAGACTATTTTGAATACTCTGATTTGTACAACTTATTCTTTCTTTCTTTTGTTTCATTTCAGGGCTTGGAAAAAAGTGATAAAAGTTGAAATCGTTTGTATCCTTCTCNTATTTTGAATACTCTGATTTGTACAACTTATTCTTTCTTTCTTTTGTTTCGTTTCAGGGCTTGGAAAAAAGTGATAACAGTTGAAATCGTTTGTCTCCTTCTCTTGGGCGACCATTTGGTAAAACAGACAAACCTTTTGTAAACTTTTATTTACAACACACACCAGATTAAAAATGCCACTTGAACTTTGACATTTTTCTGCTGTTGCACTGTTTTACTCTCCAAAATCTAATCAGTCGCACTGTTTGGCGCGCAACAAACACTATTTGACCACTGGGCAGTCTCGTGATATTTCTCTTCAGTTTTCCTTGTTATCAGCAGGCACTTTCTTGATTTGGACGTCTGTTTGAACAAGTGGAAACCTAAACCGTTATCAAACAGCAAACACACACACACACACACACACACACACACACACACACACACACNAAACACACACACACACACACACACACACACACACACACACACACACCCAGGGCTCCAAACACTGGACAGGATAAAAAGGTCAGTCGAGTCTGTTTAAATTCTCTCTTCAAGTTAATGACAACCATTTTCAAAATGCGTTGTCTTGTCGTCATCGTCGTCTTCATTGCCCAGCTTTTGGGCATGGTACTTGCTGAGGGTAACTTTTTAAATTCAGTGTAAACTATCAATCACTTTACAACTGTTTTTCCCTGTTCAGACTACCCCCAATCGCCTGTGTTGGGCGATGCCCCCGGAGACGGCGCTTTCGACGGCGACTACTACGACGGCCCAGGACCAGGACTGGCGGCGATGATGCCCCAGCTCAACCCTGCGGCCGCCCTTGAAAGTCTGCTCTTCAACGCCGACCCCAGCCTCCTCCTGTCGATTCCCTCTCCGCCGCCCACCTCCACGCCCCTGCTCTGTCGAATGTTCCCCAACACTGTGCGCTGTCTGCAGTACCGATTTCCCTTCACCGGCGAGACGCCCATCGCCCCTCGAGTGGACGCTGCTCCTGAACCCCTTGCTCCAACTCCTGAGGATGGTCCTGAGGAGCAGCAGCCGCAAATGCAACAGCAGATGCAACAACAAGCTCCCAACTACCCTCCGCCCCTGAGTTACCAGT